AACAAAAATAAAATATACATTTGTAGTTAAATAAAAAAATCTCACCTTCTTCGTCTTCTTCATTCCCGGGGAATGCAGCGGCGGGTTCGCGGTCACGGCGTCTTCTCCCTCCACCAATGTGGGGCGCCAGTCTATGCCTTGCCCGCTGAGACTGTGTATGCTGGGGTGGGGCGTACTCCTCTTGAGATAGAATTTGCTCCGACGACGCCTCTTGTGTGACCGACTGACCCCAACAGTCAGAGAAGCGTACAGAAGTTCATGGGCTTGTTGGAACTGTGACTGCGCTGGAGGAGGTAGCGTATCAATGTCTTCAATGTTCGATAGCATGTTATACGCTCCCTCCGTACCCGAATTCTGCAAAATAAAATTCAAATAACTATCAAATATTAATAATAATAATAATAATAATAATTACTTCAATAATAATAATAATAATAATAATAATAATAATAATCACAAATTTGCAGACACTTACCTGACACTTCTCCCAGTCGGCATATGGCTGAAACCCGCCGTCCTGTGAGGTCGCCGCGTAGTTGTTAGGGTCATTGAATAGTCTCACAGTCCTACTGTGATACCAATCAATGTACCCCTCTGCCGGCTGCAGGAAGGGATCCACCAGGACATCTGGGAGGACATTCTGATCTCTCTCTTCGGTCCAGATCCTCCCAAGATCAGCATGGAAGGCCCGCCAATCGGTGTATGCCCTCCCAGTCATGCCCTGGCCTTTGTGGCGGGTGTCCCAATCGACCAGACTAGTAATGATCGGCCTCTGAGGGATGGGCTGGTGGCACCGAAACTGGCGGAACACCCTATCAGGCTAGTGGGGTTCTGTGATGTTCCAGCAGAAGATCCACCCCTTGTACATTCAGAGATGTCGGTCTCGTGTACACTCGTCCGGGAGCCGACCCTCGTCTATGTACGTCTGATAGGGTACCCAATCGAACTGTAAAAAAAAAATTTATAGAATTATTAATGAACTTAATAAAAAAATAGAATTAAAAAAATAATAATTATTTATTATTATAACCTAAGAAACTTACATCGGTCTCTCTCAGGCACTCAGCTGATCTCGGATGGTAGCCGTGCCCATCCCCAGGTTCCTCATGTCCCTCGATCCCACCCACCTTAAAAATCACAGAAAAAAACTATTTGTAATTACAAATTTTGATAATTGAAATAACTTAAGTGTTGAATATAAATAAAAGTTATTATTACCTTGCACCCAAGGGACAACTAGCCTGAGAGCCGAAATGTGTTTTTCTCATTAATGGGCGAACTCGAGGATGCGTTCCCATGCCCAAACCTGTACATATGGACATATACATTTTTTAGCACATATTATTGTAATGGCTTAATGGCGGGAAAATACACGACCTTTACGTGTTTGGCCATTTAATCACCACCTTTAGACCTTGGCAAATAAATACATGACCTTTACATTTTTGGCAACTCGATACATGGTTTTAACTGCCGTTATCTTTCGTTAACGGAAATCCTACGTGGCTTTTGACACACCAAATGGACATCCGAGTCAGCGCCCAGGTGGCAAATCGTGCACATGTGGCAGAATTGCAAAAAATTGCAAAAGTAATGCAAGAAGGGGAATTGAACCTTGTACCTCTAGTATATAAGATAGGCTTATGAACCACTTGATCCAACCCAACTTATGTTAAGTATGGGACTTCATTTATATATATACCAACATCATTTTATCTATATTGTATAAAATTTATACAACTTTCAATTATAATACTTATAAATAATTTATTCATTAAATATATACTAATTATGAAATAAAAATAAGTGAACTAAATAAATAAATAATATTACATTCTTGTTTAATCAAACTTTTATTCTCATTAACGTTATTTTTATATTAATTTACTTGATTTAAATTTAATTATTTTTGTATATTAAATAATTATTTACTAAATGAATAAATATATTAAATATATATTATATAAATAAAGATATTAAATAATACAATATTATTTATTTATAAAAATAATAAATAATAAAATAAATACTAAATATAGTAAATAAATAAATAATACAATAAATTAAAATTAAATAAAATATATAATTAAAAACTAAATAACATATAATATTTTTTATTTATTTTGTTTTAGTTCATAATTTAATATGTTAAATAAAATAAAATTTAATATATTTATTTCATAAAATTTAATTAATTTGATAGATTATTTATTTAATATAATATATGATATTTAATATTTTATTTATTTATTTAATAAAAATTAATTTATTTAATATATTGTTTATTTAATATAATATTACTTTATTTAATATATTAAATTACGAACTAAATATAATTTATTTATTTAATAATATTTATAAATATAATAAAATATAATTTTTTTAATATATTATTTATTTAATATAATATATAATGTTTATGTTATTTATTATATTAAATTACGATAAAAAACTAAATAAAAAATATTATTCATTATTTTAGTTTTTAAAATAAAATAATATTTATTTTATTTAATATATTATTTATTTAATATAGTATTTATTTATTTCATAAAATTTAATTTATTTAATATATTATTTATTTAATAATATTAATTTATTTAATATATACTATTTACTTTATTTAACATATTAAATTACGAACTAAAACTAAATAAGTAAAAATATAATTTATTTATTTAATAATATTTCATATTTAAAATAATATTTATTTATTTAATAAAAATTTATTTATTTAATATATTATTTATTTATTATAATATATAATATTTAACAAATAAATTTGTATATATTTAATAAATAAATTATTTATATGTATTATAATTAAAAGTTGCATAAATTTTATATAATATAGATAAAATGATGTTGGTATATATAAAAATGAAGTCCCATACTTAACATAAGTTGGGTTGGATCAAGTGGCTCATAAGCCTATCTTATATACTAGAGGTACAAGGTTCAATTCCCCTTCTTGCATTATTTTTGCAAATTTGTACAATTCTGCCACATGTGCACGATTTGCCACCTAGGCGCTGACTCGGATGTCCGTTTGGTGTGTCAAAAGCCACGTAGGATTTCTGTTAACGGAAGATAACGGCAGTTAAAACCATGTATCGGGTTGCCAAAAATGTAAAGGTCATGTATTTATTTGCCAAGGTCTAAAGGTGGTGATTAAATGGCCAAACACGTAAAGGTCGTGTATTTTCCCGCCATTAAGCCTATTGTAATTTATAATAAATAAAATTAATTTGCAATTAACAAGTAAATAAATTTACCTGAATCAACTGCATGCAGCTCTTGATATATTTTTCGTCCTTCTCGTAGGCGTCGCAGAGCGCTCTATATACCCCGGCCAGAAGCGCTCCACCCCAGCTGTATCCCGGAATGGCATCGATGACATTCAACAGGGACAACCAGTAGAGGTTGACTCCGTTGGCCCGATAAACGACCCATGATAAACACAAATATACCTATACATATGGGAGGTACCCTAGAGCGTCCACGCAATGAACTCTTCACTCTTGGGGAGTCCGCTGTACGGTCTGTCCCCAACATGGTTCACCGCTGACGGGGAGGCCAAAGAGTATCTCAACGTCCTGGAGAGTGATCGTGGCCTTCCCGAAGTCGAAGTGGAAGGTGTGCGTCTCCGGACGCCACCTCTCCAGCAGGCATGTAATGAGGGGATTGTTTGTCGGGACCCGCCCGATCCGAAATAAAGGCCCGAATCCGGGGAAATTTTCACCTTTACTACTCGTTTTTGAAATATTTACACCTTTACCACTCCTACCAATTAAATTGTGTTTATACCTAAAAAATAAAAAGTAATTAAAGTCATGCCTAATATCAGTTACACGATATGGAACAAACTTTCCATGTTTCTAGCCCATAATTTCAGCTCTCAATCTTGGAAGGATATCAGTTAGATATCATATTTCAAACTTTCCATGTTTCATTATCACATCTCATATATAGTCGTAGTGCTGCTATTGAACAGGTGAAAGTATATGTGCAGTATATTTTGGTATTTGTTCATGGAAATAAACTGCGTAGTTTTAATATATTTGGTTTATGTTCAGCAGTTGATTTTTATTGTGCAGCATAAGTATATTTTTAGTTTATGTTCAGTATATTTTTAGATTTTTATTGTGCAGCATAAGTATATTTTTAGTTTATGTTCAGTATATTTTTAGTTTATGAACCACATCAAACAAAGACTTGGATCCGGATCGGGCCTGGAGTTGCTGCTTCCGCACGGCGATCTTCTCAGGCCGGTGAAGGCTGACGAGGAAGGCGGTTGAATCAACAAGGACAAAAGAAAAAAAAAATCAAATATAAATAAGAAAAATTAACAAGAATTAAAACTGGAGCTTCAAGGGATTCTATCATTGAGTAGAAAAAGGCAAACAAGACAGAGGGAAGAGGGGATTGAAATGGCGCAAGCTGCAAACTAAGCCCCGACCACCACGAGGCGGAGATCTGAGCCCGCCGCCAGGCCCGGCCTTCACTCCGTCCGAAATCCCAGAGACCGCCATGGCGACATAGATTTTGGGAGAAGCGCCATCAACGACCGGCATGGATCCTCAGGCCTGATAGAATTGATGTCGCGGAAGCATCGAGAATCGAGCATCATGTAAATCTAGGAGAGAGGTGGGGTTTAGCGGAGAGAAAGCAAGGTTTGGAAAAGAGAGAGATATGAGGGGAGACGATAGATCGGGCTTGGCGAGAAAGCAAGATCTGGAGATGAGAGAGATGAAGAGAGACGATGGATAGAATTTGGCGAGAGAAAACAAGATCTGGAGAGAGATATGAGGGGAGTTACCATTAAATAGGAATGAAAAATTATCATGTAAATAGGAAATCAGATTTTTAGGCATATATGCAAATAAATATAACATATTTAGTTATTTTATAAATAATTATATAGAAGATGTAATTATGTAATATTTTCAGATTTTCCAAGTGGAGGATGTAAATTCTTCTAAAAATTTCTAGATTTAGCAGTCTCGAGTAAAAAGAATTTCTGATTCGCTAAAAAAAAAAACCGAACGTTTATTATACTTAGCAGTTTACCATGAGTTAGCAGACAGAATAGAGGATACAGCTTTATTACTAGGACGATGACACTTGAAGCCCAAAATAAGAACAGAAGGCCCAATTAAATGACTGCGCATTGCAGCTGACTAAGGCCCAATCAATTCACTCTAGGTTAAAATAGTTCATATACTTTCTTCTCCCTTCCCATTCTGAAGCCCAATTCCACCGCCCAATTCTTCCGTCGCCTCCACCGCCACCGCCGGCTCAGCCACCCTCCTCCCCTTGTACCGCCGCGCAACCCACAAATACACGGCGAAGTTCACCACATTGATCCCCGCCAGCAGCCAGTAGAAATAATCTAGCCTGCTCTGGTTCAAGTCGTCCCTCAGCCACCCCTCCGCCGCCCCGCCGGTGGCCCTCCCGACGATCTCGACCAGGGCGGAGCTCAGCCAGCTCCCTATCCCGAACTCGCTGAGGAACAAGGCGCTGCTGATGCTCCTGGTCCCGTCGGTGGCCTCGTCGTAGAAGAACTCCAGCTGGCCGACGTACGCCAGCACCTCCGCCATCCCCATCAGGAAGCATTGCGGGAAGAGCCAGAACACGCTCGGCCGGGGCCCGCCCGCCGCGGACCTCCGGTTCCTCTCGACGACGGCGGCGGAGACCATGGCGGGGACGGAGACGAGGACGCCAGCGCCGATGCGCTGGAGGGAGGTGATGCCGCGGGGGTGGCCGGTGCGGGAGCGGAGAAATGGGACAGCGAGGCGCTCGTAGAGGGGGACGACGAGGAGGGCGTTGACGGCGCTGAAGACTGGTGTGGAGCCGGCGGGGATGGAGAAGGCCGGGGAGAGGGAGCGGTCCATGGTGGCCGCCTGGGCCACGAAGAAGGTGGAGATCTGGGAGTAGGAGATGGCGAGGGCAATGGTGGAGGCCCAAACGGGGATGATACGGACGATGCACTTGAGCTCCTCCACCTGGGTCACCGTGCACAGCCGCCACCGGTTCCTCGTGCCGGCGGCCGCGAGGGCCGGGTCGGTTACTACAGCTGCTTTGTCCAGAAATCTGCATTTGGTGGGAAACATTTGAATTGTTTTGGACTTTTTTATTTACCATTTTTTCTTTTTTTCGAAACGGGAATTTACCAAATCCAAGTTGAAAAGTCTTCTTTTTGATAAAGAATGCCAACACTGTGTGATTTTTTTCTCAAATGACCAATTTTTTTATTGTTTATAAAAATATAGGCATAAATTTATCACATAGTCCTAGGTGTTCTGTGGTTTATTTTTAATAAAAATGTATACTTATATTATAATAAAATATCATATATTTATTTCTATCATTTATAGAGTATAATATTTTAATCTAAAAACAGACATATTTTTTAAAATAATATTACTATCTAATGATTTAGATTCGTCCAACAGTAATCTTACCCTCCAATATTAATTCATAGAATCTCAAGTTTTAATCACAATCCATAACAAAACATAATAGGAAATCAAAGATTTTGTAGACTAAATTAAGTATATTAAAAAATTCAACTCTTGTCATTATTATAAGGGCAAAATTATTCTTCCACTCCACTTATAAGTTCAATGAAAACTCAAAGCAAAATGAATCTTTTATCCATTGATGCATCAAACCAAACCAACCAACCAACCAACCTGTACTGGTGAGTGTGAGCAAGCTTGGTAGCCCCATGAATCTCACACTCCTTACTCTCCTCCACCTCATAAAGCCCACCACCAACTTCCTTACCACGATTCCTTACCGCCGCCACAATCACCTGCGCAAACCTCGTAAAGGCGCTCCCGGCTGGCCTCTGGTAACGGTACCTCCGCCAGCCGGCCGCCAGCACGAGTATCGAGGCAACTGTTGCGGCGGCAGGTATCCCGAGGCCCCAGGCCCAACCTAGCCGCACTTGGGCGTACACTAATAGGGTGATCCCTAGTAGGGCCCCAGTGTTGATGGCGAAGAAGAACCAATTGAAGAATGAGTATTTGTGGCTGGCCTCAGTCTGGTCTGCCTCGTCAAACTGGTCGGCTCCGAAGGAGGAGACGCACGGCTTGATGCCGCCGGTGCCAACGGCGATGAGGGCGAGAGAGAGGTAGAGAAAGGCCGTTTGGCCGGAGGTTGCCGGAGGGCACGGTCGAAGGGTGCACTGTGGGGGCCGGAGGCTGGGAATGGAGCCTGAAAGGGTTAGGAGCACCATTCCCTGTATCAGCAGGTAGAAATTGAGGGATTTATTGAGAGATTTGAGATTCATGAAGTTAAAAAAAAATTAAATTTAAAATTCATATGATAGATAGGAGAAATTGGAAGGTATCGTGGGACGATTCAAACTAAATAAATTTTATAGACAGAAGAATTTTTAAAACACTCATCAAACTCAATCATTTGAAATCTACTTTTTATCCCATCATTGTGAGGAATATGTTTGCCCATGAGTGTGTCACTTCATCTATATTAACCTCAATCGCGAGTCAATACAATCGTTCCGAGTTAGGCAATGAATTTATAATATTTTCGACATATTTGTACAAAAAATTTCGAAACTAGCAAATTTGAATTTTAAAGAGTTCGTAATCTAGAAATTTCAAATCGATCAATCCAAATATAACCAAACATAGACTAAGGTAATTTAGATTTGTGAGATGAGATTCTTTGACATTTTTATTTTTGTAACTATTGTATTATAGTATTTCTTGGTAATTTCACTCTATTACCGAGTAACTGCATTGGTCTTAACTATAATGTTGATCTGATGGATGAAAATTGCCCTCGCTAGGTTCCAAAACTTACCTTCCCATGAATTGATGTGCTACAACTGGCAAGAGACGTGCTTCATTGTTCTAACCAAATATGGATTACAACAACTACTTTCCAATTGATCTCTTACTACACAGTACTTATCCAATTGATCTCTTACTACACAGCTTTAAGTACAAAATAAAAATAAAAATAAAAAAGAAAAAATGCCCTAAAGTTGAATATTTAGTTTGAATTTTGATCACATTACTAAAAAAAAATTGCCCAAATGTATATTACTAGAGTGATAGTAAATTGGTCTGTTTTAAATATTTACCGCAGCATAAATGCAGGAGAAGGTGATAATTGTCTGAAAGCGGCCCAAATAGGCGTCGGCCATGAAAGCCCCAAACAAGGTGAGTATGTAGGCGGCGCCCACCCAATTTCCGACGTGCGCGGCCGCCTCCGGCAGAGGCTGGTGCATCTCTCCGACCAAGTAAGCCACCATGTTCACCGCAATCGAGAAAAACGCAAACCTCTCCGCCACCTCATTCACTAATTAATTAACAACTCATACATAATTTTTTTTTAAAAAAAAAACTTTATATATATTGAACGAAGTGAAAAAATTATTTGCTTAAATTTTTCATTTTATTTTCGAATTCAAATGTCGGAAAATTAAAGAAATCACAGTGTGTGTGTGTGTGTTTTTTTTGTTTTACGCACCGATAATGAAAGGGGCGGCCTTCCACCCGCCGGTTTTCCGTTTATCCGCTATCCGTCCTTTGTAGTCGAAGCAGCCATTGGAAACCAAACTAGAGGACTCTACCTGTATTTTTCACTAGTAGATTAAATATTTGACCAATAATTAAGAGAAAAAAAAGAGAGATTGTTTTTATATGTGTATAGATTCATACCTTCATGTTGTTGTTAATGGAGTCCGATTGATCCATGGATATCCGGCTAGCAAGTGTTGTTTTTGTAAATGTGTAATGATTTTCTGGGATATAAAGAATCACATTTTTCCTGCTGCAATCGCTTGAAAAAAATTGGTGCAGTTGGACATTATTGTTAATTTATTATATCATCACGAAGGTAGATTTTGAAATAATTATGAACCATCATTAAAATAGAGATAAAGCATGAGCCCGTCTTTGGAAACTTTTTTGTCAAAAGTCCATTTTCTGGCTGAAATATGTAATTTACAAAATTAGAATTATTTACTCATCATATTGAGATTATTATTAAATAAATTAATATATCGAATAAATACATTGAAGAGGTAATTTGAATCAAATTGGTATCATTTTAATAATCATCCTAAATAAATTAACATGACATTTATGATTTATTAACTGTTATATGTTAAATTTATATACCATCAAAAGTGTATCATTAGTGTTCATCTCAAGGATTTTGATAGCTCTTTCTATTAGGCAGACACACTTTGTCACAAATATTCATATTTTGATTAGAAAATATCATACTTAAAAAAATCATAAACAAAAATATATAAAGTATAACATTTGGTAATTAGGTGTGCATTTTTGTTCATAAACTATGACGAATTGACTCATCATCCATTACGTAATTTAGTAAAATTAATTATTACAGTTATGCCGCAATTATGCCATAAACTAGTATTTAACACTGTACATTTGTACAGATGTAAATAAAATTAAATATTATAAGTTACATTTATGTATATAATATAAAAATTATAAGTTATATAATTGTATTATATTTCAAACATATAGTATTATAAGTTATATGTATGTACATAATATTAAAATTATAAATTATATAATAGTATTATATGTTAAAATTTGGTCATTGGTTAAAATAAATAGAACACACGATTCGATTGTATACGAATCACTATATTGATTGCATAAATGTAATAAATATATACTTTTTATAATTTTGAGTTATCATGACCAATTAATTAGTTAAAAAATATTACATTTATTATAACAATTGCTTATGTGATTTTAAGAAATTTTACTATGACATAAAAAAATTAATTTATTAATAAACTACATCTTCATCATATAAAAAAATATTGATTTTAGTGTAAAATATAATTTTATGTAACTTTCATATATTATTTAGTATAAAATATAATTACTAATTTTAATATTAACTATTATATTATTCAATAAAAAATATAATTATTAATCAATTAACATAAAATATAATAGTTTTGTCTTAATTAACCCAAAAAAATGTAACGAAATATATTCTTATTAATGAGGTTGGGTGTATTAATGCCACATAAATAAAATTTATTAGGTTCTATTTATTAGGTTTTATTAATAATTTGCCACATAGATAAAATTTATTAGATTTTATTTATTAGGTAAAATTTATTGCTTATCTAGCAATTATATATATATATATATATATAGATATCAGTCATGATTTTCGGTGATTGTGTACTGATAGTGAATCAATTGTCAATTTATATGGCAAATATAACTAGGGTCAGTCTGTCAATAGTACTGTGAATACTAAATAAATACATTTATGACTAAATTTGATTTCCAAATTTCTAAATTAGTGCCTTTTTCCTCTGTACTCTGTAGACGTTTGTACTTAAAATTGGCAGCTGATTAGTGCGTATATATTTATTTAGAATTGAAGGGTGGGATTGGATTGGATTTTTTTTTTCTTTTTCTTTTTTTGGAAATAATGTAACGGTGGAGATTTTTTTTGTTAAATCAAGAAGTGCAATGGGATGTATATCCAAGTCATTTTTTTATCAATCAGTTTATATTTTACAAATAATAATTATTATACTATAAGAAAATAATGAAATTTCAACGGAAATATATTTTCATAAAATTCCAACGGCAATTCCAATGAATATTTCAATGTTATTATTTCCGTTGAAATTATTCCAAACGACATTCCAACAAAAATATTCCGTTGGAATGAGTTTTCTATTGGAATTTATGTTGGATTTTGACGATTCCAAAAGGTGGTAGAAATAAAAATTTCAACAGAAATTCCTACGGTTAAAAGCGTTGGAAATATAGCCATTGAAATCATCAAATTTTATCTAAAATTCCAATGACAAAAAATACTTTACAACATAATATTTTCGTTGCAATTTCAGTTGGAATCATTCCAACGGAAACTATACCATTGAAATATCCGTTGGAATTTCTATTGGAATATATTACCATAGGATTTTCCGTTGGGGTATAACATTTTTTGTAGTGTTAAATTGTGATGTGATAGGGATAGTTTGAACAAATAATTGATAGTTATAAATATGTTTAGGGATCAATATTAAATTTTATAGATAAGTGTATAATAATAAATATTTTATCTAACTTAAGAACTATATTGAAAAATGTAAGTAGAATGAATAATAGAATTGAGTGGAATCAACGAACATCGAGTAACTCAACAACGAAGGAACAGCAGTAAGAATTAGTCGGTTCTCCACGTTACGTTAGCCAAGACGGAAGTGTTCTTGAGATTATAAATGAATATAAAATATAAAGATTTAAGTTGATTTAATATAAAAATATTTAAATACTAATGTTATTGATATTTTATCGAAACGATAATTATATTAAAAATTATAAATAGAATACATCCAATATGTCAACTGGCATTACTAGAACTAGAATAGATTCTAGATCTATCTTTCCATTGAAATTACACAATCTGCCAAGAGGATTAACAAGAACACCCGCGCACACTCCTACATAAATATGTGAGCGAGTTCATTGTTTGTCCTATTTTTGTTGCGTTTTTCGTGTTTATTTTATCTTTCTGATTCTCCCGTTTTAGGTCGTTTCTTTAGTTTTTAGTCCGTTTCGTGTTTTATTATGTGTTTTCCTTCATTTTGAGTCTTTAGGTATTTTTTCGTTTGTTTTCCTGGTTTTCTTCGTGTTTTGTCGTTTTTGGTGTGTAGGTCGAGAGCTTCGGGCGAATTTTATCTTCAGGAAAAAGTTGATTTCGAGAGCACAAAGATAGATGGGTTCGTTAGCGACTCGTAGCAAAAAACGGAACTCAATTCTGAGTTCGGACGAGCCCAAACGAGCCCGAAACGTAAAATGGCGCAGTGCAGTCCAAAGTCGCGACTCGCGAGAAAAGTCGCGGCTCGCGAGCCAACGTCGCGACTCGCGAGAGCAAAGTCGCGACTCGCGAGAGCAAAGTCGCGACTCACGACTTTAACAGAGCCTCCGACCAGCTGCGCAACCCCACGACCCGTCAGACTCGCGACTCGCGAGTCAACTCGCGAGTCGCGACCTGTTCGACCCTGTTTTTATTTTTCTCCGTTTTTACTCGTTTTAGCTTCGTTTTTCGAGCACTATATATCGAAATGATCCTTAGACTCGTGGGAACGATCCCCAATATCGTTCCTTTCAATTTTTCTCTCCAAAACCTCAATATTGTTAGGATTAATTTCTCCTCTTTTTTTTTTCTTTTTCTCTCATGCTTGGATTGTTGGACACAAAGATATTTGGATTGAAATCTTGCAACTCTTAATCCGATTGTAAGTTTTTCAATTCTATTTTATTATTTTTGATTGGTTTTATGTTCTTAATTCCAGTTAACATGAAATTGAATCTAAGCATGAGGTAATCCATTCACCTAGGGTTAGGGATTTTGATTCTTGTTTTGAATTATGAGGAATGTGTTTTGTTTAATCTATACGAGTTGTGTGAATTATATGGTTAGTTGATTGATCACCATTCTAACCTAGTTAATCGGCGTTTAGAACCGAGAGGGGAGACGTCGGTCGATTTAGGCTCGTATAGAGTAGACATGTTCGTAAAAGTATTGTCTATGTGTTGCTTGTTTGAATGAATTTATCGTTTATGTTTGTGCTCTTGTTACGAAGAGTTATTGAGCATAGCCCTCGAGACGTGTAGGCTTGTTTAATCTCGTAAACGAACAAATAAGCGTTCAACATAGTTTAAGACTTGATGAGATTTCCCGACCCCTAGAACTTCTTCTTTTTCTCTAGAAATTTAATTGTTATTTCTTTAAATTGTTTTTCTAGTTCTAGCTTGTTTTAGTTGATTCCCCAAATCAATCGTGATTAGAGTGTTTAGGACTTATTTTCTTTTCGTGTGTGATCAAGACCAACGCTAAATTCCGAACCGTCTTCCTCGAGAGATCGACCCGGGGAGCGAATCTTTTGATTCGGTACTCGGTAAAAACATAAAATAATTTGCTACAACAAATTTGGCGCCGTTGCCGGGGAAGGCAAGTAGGATATTTGGTTCTGGTGTTGATTTTATTTTCTGTGTTTCTCTTTTTTTTTTGTGTTTTTCGTGTTCGTGTCCTTTGTTTGCATCTTTGTTTTTCTTTTTGTTTCTGTTTTAGTTTTCTTCCTTTTCCCCTTTCTTTTCGTGGCTACGTGTGGTTGTTCTATTTTGGTGTGCAGGAGATATGAACTTCAACCGTACTTTTCCCTATCCGCACACCCAACCTTGGGGTTACGAGCCGAGCTATCACGCCGGGTATCACAACCAATCATATTCATATTCTTCCGAGCAGTACTGGGATCCCTACACAGTCGAGCACGCTTATGAGTCCCACGAGTTCAACGAGAAGCTCGACCGTATCTATGAATTCGCGTCATCCCGCTTAGCTCTGGATGAAGAGACCGCAACCCGGTGTACCCATCCGCATCAGTCACCTCCATACCACGATTCTTGGGACTATGGCCAGACTTGGCCATATCCTTACGAGCAACAATGGGAGTCTGTACCTATTGAACAGTCATGTGAGCCCCTCGAAGATTCCTCAGAGTACAATGCCAAGCTCGACCAGGCCCTCGCTCTTTTAGCCTCCCAAGCGGCCCGTAGGAGCAATATTGAGTCCAGAATTGAGAACCTTGTGGAGCGCGTGCACGCCTTAGAGGATCGAGTTAACAATGTCACTCCCGAGCCCACCGCTCAAGGCGAATCTATACATAGAGATGAACCTCGGGAGGCTGCTTTGACATACGATGAAAAGCTCGACCTCATCCTTGCTCGCATTGTAGGATGAAAATTATTATACATATTGTCTGGTTATACGATGCCCAAAAACTATTCTAAAATAAACTATAATGGTATCGGAGTACCTTTTTATTGGACTAAATAATACATAGAAACTAAAAAAGAAACGGAATATATATCCGTATGAATTATTCTAAAAAATTATGTGTTGGAGGCGTATATATAAAGATATATACCCTAACTGCAATAAGAAATCTATCTATACTTATATAAAAATCCATCCTATTTACTAGAAATAATAGGCAGAAAAATCAAAGGTAATTAATGCATTCTATTTCCATCAAGTATTTTATTTAATTATTTTATTTATTTGTTTTATCCCATAACATCAGTTTAGTTAAAAAAATTCCATAAAATCGATTTTAATGTCAAATCCGTCATAATTTTTTGAATTTATTTTCTTCAAATCCCTCATAATACAATCTCATGTCAATACCATTTTTGGATTTATTTTCTTTAAACATACAACAGAAACAACATGCACGTATACAATTTCTTCATCCTACATTTAAGTAATTTGTTAGTCCCCAAATCAGTGAAGATTCCTTGCATGAAGGATTTGTGCAATTTTAAAAAAAATGGGAACTTGGTATATACCCATTACACACGAGATTGGTTTTAGAATTTGAATTTTCAAATTTCTTCCATATACATACACAATTATTCACTTCCTACAATTAATTAATTTGTTGAATCAAACTAGTGCGTGGCCCGTGTGATGCACGAGAAAACAATATTACGATTGTATTATAAATTGAATAAATAAATAACATTAATCATGATTTATCTATTGTTTATAAATTAAACCGGGTTGGACACAGTCTGACAGGATGCACCGAGAACCGGTTTATAACCAGTATAGTTCGCTTAAATAAAATATTTGCTCTCGAATCCGTCAACACCAGTCGGTTGGACTGGTAGGATCGATACGATTTTCTAAAATTTTGTTATATTTAATTTATTTTAAATAAAATTCTATAATTAAATAAAATAGAGATTTATAAATTATTTATCAATTAGTTTAAACATTTGAATTTATAAATTATTTAGATATCTAAGTAACACAATTTAATTTTATATATATATATATATATTAAAATATTTATAAATTAAAATCTGAACAAACCACAAATGATTTAATAAAATAGCTTGATCGTTTCGATGACGGTCCAGTTTTGCAAACTTTATATTTACTGTACATTATAGATATTATAATACAATATTATTTAATTCACATAAATATTAATAAAATGATATATAAATATTCATAAATCATTAAACATGTTGTCATAAAAGTATTGTTAATACGATTATTTGAAGTTTGGACTACATCACATTCACGTAATAAAATACTTTCAATATAAAATTTATATTTAGATTCAATAATCGATTTAGTGTGGTCGAACTAATACATAACTTAGTCACCTGGGACCAACCAAGTTGTGTCAAGTTTTTTTTTACTATTTTAAATATCACCTAAAAGTAATTCAATCAACCTGGGCACTACCCTAATTCAATCACCCGATTGACCCCGAAGAAATTTTCTAATTTTCTTTAATATATTTAATTCTATGATTCATATAATAAATGTCTACACCAAATGGTAGTATATTAAGATTATAAATAATATATCTAAAGATGAATTAATTATTTTTACTCTATGCATATTAATAAAAAAATAACATTGTAATTTTCAAAAAATTAAGATTAATTGATTGATTATGCAATTTAAAGAATATTTTTAGCGTTCAATATTTTCTTTAAAGGCACAAATATAAAGATCGGGATTCTAAAACTTTTGTTATATTTTGAATTGAGATTTTATAAATATAGAGACCTAGATTTTAATTTTGTTTGTTGTTTCTTAGAAAAAAAAATAAAAATAAAAACATACACAATTAATAAATCTTAGCTGAATTTTTTAAATAATAAAATGAACTAAAGCCCGAAATTTAAGGTAGCATTTAATGATGTATGATTTTTAAAGAAAAAAAAAACAAAAATAATAAACTTACTATTTATAGGCGGCATTAAATTCTTACCTATGTTTTTGCTCCTATTTTTTGGTAAATGATAATTCTTATTATATATATATAGATACGATATTATGGTCCGCCAAAGTCAGTGGAGATATTTTGCATGAAGACTTTTTGCAATTTAAAAATATTAGGACTCTTGGTATAAACTCATTACATTTTGGATAGTTTTTTTCACAAAATAAATTTGAGATGGATTAAGAATTTCAAATCAATTCAAATGATTACAAGTTAAAATTTTTCAATTTTATTTTAAAAATAAAATTTATGGTTTCAAACTCGAGATGATGAATTTGTAAATAGATAAAATATTTCTTTATCTTCTAAAATATTTATTAAAAAAATTATAATGACATTATATGACAATAAATTTTATAATAAAATAATAAATTAAGTATTATATCAGAATATGTAAAACTATTATTTTTTATATTAAATAATAAATATATATATTATACTAAAATCAAATTTATATTAGCATCAACATTTTAGCGGGATAATATATTAATTAATTTACATACTAGAGCTAATAATTAATTTACATACTAGTGCTAATAGTCTGAGGTTTAACGTTATGACGAAAAAAACAACGACGATCAAAAGAGGTGTAAAATAGATGATCTAAGTCTATTTTTTTTTACCTAATGGACAAGCCATATAGAAACTCTGACCCGTGCACCGCACGAGCTACGTACTAATAAATACAGAACGTACTAATAAATACAGAAATACGAACGAAAAACAATGGAATTTGGGCCCTGAATCACTTTAAATTACGCTAGCTATAAGTTGAATGAAAATCGATTTTTTTGCTTTCAGAAAGGAAACATAAGTAATTTGATCCCAAATGCAAAAGTTATAATACCTTAATCACTTTACATTACGCTAGCTATAAGTTGAATGAATTAAAAAAAAAAAAAGTTCAATCAAAATCGATTTTTNNNNCAAAATCGATTTTTCGCTTTCGGAAACATAATATAATAGTAATTTGATCCGAAATCCAAAAGTTAGTAATTTGATCCCAAATGCAGAACTCGTGTTCTACGCATAACAAATTTACAGTTATCCAAATTTTGCATGTGCATTTAGTTATCAGAAACTAGTATACCATTTGGCATGTCCACACATTGACACGTCAATCCAAGACAACTTGGAGAATCCATCTGTTATTACTTGTTCCCATCCTTTAAAATTGAAATAGAAATCACACAGCTTTGCCTTTATTTTTATTTTTCTCAAGTGAACATTAATATTTTCTTCATTTTCCTTACAACAAGCTTTGTTTTGTGCAGTATATGCCCAAAATTGGGCAAGTCGGTGCTCAAATAGTCAATCCTCATCCATGGCCATGAATACGCAATCTAGTTTAATTGAATTACAATATTATATTTGGGTGTCCATATATTAATAATTTAATATACATAAAGACAAGACACTAACAATGCCAGAAATTGAAAATGATGATATCATGACGTGCATTGCACAATACAAACAATCTTTCCAATAAAATAAAAATAAAAGATCTCGCAATATATAAATGAAATCACAACTTCATAAGATACTATATAAATATACACGATTCTAGTTTACTTCGACCATGATACATGCATATCTCAAACACCATATACTATACTACACATAAAAACAAAAAATAAAAGAGAAGTAAAATGTACTATATATAATCACTAATGTACAAAAGACTATGCACACGCATATAATACTATACTATATACTATAGACAGCACAAATTAACCTCCTATACCATATACCCAAATACCTATACATATACACGTCACTATACACGTCACCCACACAGCACGTGGAACTCACACCACTTTCCACGTTTTGCATGCTTTATTTTCCCATACGATCCTTTCATATATACATACTTTTATACTCTTATTATTATTATTATTTTACTCAAATTAACTTAGTAGTACCACGGGAAAGTCCCGTAGTACTCCAAGCTAGAGGCAAATGCCTCTGGCTCGTGCACGATCCTCAATGACGTATCCTTAGCGGCCTCGGCCCAAAGGGATGAGTCGTCAACCTCAGGCAAACTCTCGTTCAGCTCTTGCAAAATCCCGCTAGCGCTAACATACTCCCCGCTATAGCTATACCCATTAGTAGTACTCTCCGCCCTCGGCCCAATCTCACTAATGGGTCTTTCCTCCTTAGTAGGCTCTAATGGGCCCAGGAAATCAGCAATTGTGATTTCTTGGACCTCAGCCTTTACAGGTCCCTGGGCAGGGGTCTGGGCCTGGGCCTGGTCGAGAAGGTGGGGTAGGTTGACCTTGGCATCGGGCCCGTAGAGGCGTCGGGCCGCAGCGTCGTAGGCAATAGCGGCCTCGTGAGAGGTTTCGAAAGTGCCGAGCCAAACGCGGGACCCGCGATTGGGCTCGCGAATCTCGGCCACCCATTTTCCCCACGTGCGCTGACGAACGCCTTTGTAAGTGCAAGACGCGTTCTCGGGGCCGCCTTTTCCACGCATGCAACCTTTTCGGGAGCTTGCTTGGGCGAGCCTCGGTCGAGACCCCACGGCCTTCTTCTCCATGGATTTCAACACTAGTGAGCTTTTTTCTTTGTATTG